TAGTAGCGTCCTTGCTCCTAGTAGTAAGGCCAAGAGCCCCTAGTAGCATCCTGGTTCCTAGTAGTAAGGCCAGGAGCCGCTAGTAGCGTCCTTGCTCTTAGTAGTAAGGCCAGGACCTTGCTCCTAGTAGTAAGGCCAGGAGCCCCTACTAGCGTCTTTGCTTCTAGTAGTAAGGCCAGGAGCCCCTAGTAGCGTCCTTGCTTCTAGTAGTATGGCCAGGAGCCCCTAGTAGCGTCTTTGCTCTTAGTAGCGATGCCAGGAGCCCCTAGTAGCGTCCTTGCTCCTAGTAGTAAGGCCAGGAGCCCCTAGTAGCGTCCTTGCTTCTCGTAGTAAGGCCAGGAGCCCCTAGTAGCGTCCTTGCCCTTAGTAGCGATGCCAGGAGCCCCTAGTGGCGTCCTTGCTCCTAGTAGTACTGTAACCTTTCTCAAAGTGACTTGCAAGTCCTTCAGTTTGCTCGTTGATCACTCGGCACCTGTTGATAAGTCTGTGCTCTTTGCAGGCCCTCCATTTCTGCCGTGTCTGATATGATGTCACTTAATGGACAGTGTTGACAGTTCCGAGTGGAGCATTTGTTGTGCATCTAGGGTCCTTTGCTGTAAGGATGGAGCACGCAAGCTATTTGCAGGGCATTGCCGCATTGCCAACAATGTTTGCTTGTCTAAATGTTCAGACCAAACTGGGAAGGCTCCAAATCCACTCCATGTCTGACACATCCTTCCTCTGCTCGTTGTGACCCCCAGAACTGAGTATCGCCAGCCTCATCAGAGGCAATCTCCACCCGAGGCGTCAAGCCCTGTCGCACCTCAAGTAGCATCCTTGTTCCTAGTAGTAAGGCCAGGAGCCCCTAGTAGCGTCCTTGCTCCTAGTAGCGATGCCCTTTGCTCCTAGTAGCGTCCTCTAGTGCAAAGTAGACAGGCTTGTTCAGGTTCTTAAATGCGACAAATGAATTGATAGAAAATGCTCAAACATGATACATGTTGAAACGGTGCTTGACGAGCTGCCAGTGAAGCCAATCCCTTTCGCACTTCGTTGTCCCATTCAAGCCCTTCCTGCGACATGAAAATACAATATAGTAAACTGTATTCACACTGCCTTCGAACCCTTATGTCTCATGAGACGTTGATGTGGCCAGACTGTGAACTCCTGGCACCAGCACATCTTCAAATTTCGGCTGGCCGGTGCCCCAAGGGCCTGGCCATGGAGGGTCAAGTTCTTCAAGGTTTCCGTAGGCATCACATGTCGTGCACACAAACATGGCATGTCGCACCTGTGCACTGTAAGTGGTGATTGGCTGTGTCGAATTGACTGAATCATCTCACTCACTCTGCTACATCTGTTCCGTGGCTTCAACATCCTTCAACCAGTCAACTTCTTTTTAACTTAAAGTACTAGAATGTGCCTCTCAAGGCTGAAAGTGGTCGGTTGTTGTTTCGATCAGCAAAAGGGGCATCCTGCCTCCGCTGTACATGATACCTGAAAAGCAAAGTCTGTGTCAACTTGTTCTCATTCTGGAAGCGAGTGATCCAATTGAATTGCCTCCTGATCTTTACGTGAGCAACTCTTCAAATCCAGCCATAATCGATGACATCGCTGACAACACTAGATAATGAATACTACCACCACCACCACTACTACTTGCAATCTCTCCGCCCCAATTGCCTCTCCATCCGAGTTGATCTCTCGCACAGCATCTCCGAGGATTGTGCTAAAAACCTTGAATGTCCAAGGGCTCATTTGTAGGAGACAAAGAGTTTCAATACGTTGGACGAGAGCTTCGGGGTCAAGCTTGAACCCGAACCAGTGCAAAGCTTCAATGCTCTGTCGACCGCAGCACCTAGTCAAGTCAATCATGTTACAGTAACTGTGGTATAAAAATATAAACACAAGTCGGCATTCAACCCCAGTCCTATCATGCTCAGGACGTGGCAAGAGTGCCCACGCACTGACCTCAGAATCAACCAAAATCCGTCTTTTTCTGAAATGCGATCGATCGTTCGAGGTCTTTGGAAATACAGTAGTTGTTTCACCACCTATACTTCAGCGGCCAAACGGAATTGCGTAGGTTCCTAGTTGCATGTTGGCGTTGCCCGATTGCAGTATACACAAGTCGCACACCCAAACCAAGTCGGATCATACTGGGCAAAAGGATCTGAAGAGAGTAGCCCGTCCATCAGACCAGAAGCAGTGATTTTGTAATGAAGCGTGACATGACAGTGGAATCGAAGCAACATCAAGTTCTTTTGAGAGCCGTGTCTGCATCCAAAGCACAAGTTCCACCCACTAGTGCGCAGGGCTTCCACCAGTCACGCATGGGTCCTGCCACTTGGGTCCTCGCTTCAGTGCAGCATGCAACAGCAACCCCATCAAGGGTTGCGACGCTGAAGCAGAAATCGATATCAACGATCATCAACATATCATATCTGATTTCTGATTTCATTAATCCTCTGTGTGGGTAGATTGACGGGTTTCCAAGTAGCTCTCCTAAGCTGATGTGCCGTTTCAGCATCAGGCGCAGCAGCCTAGCGTGTGTACAGGCCGAAGGACATGCAAAATCAGTCAGTCTGCACCCCAAAAAAATATGTATATAATATATTAATGATCTGGCAAAGCAGCGGCATTTCAACAGGCCTAGATTCAGCCAAATCATACGTGCAATCAGTCAACAAAGCGTGCTTTCAAGTGTCCAACACTTGTTGACACTTGTTGAATAGTTTTGGGGTTCAGAAAACGTCCCAAGGAACACGACAAACAATGGAAACTCTGAATGGGATGCAGGGCCTCTGCTGAGTCGGCTCCTGGCCAAAAATGAAGGCCAGTATATAGGCCAGTAGTCCATCAATCTCGCTTAATTATGTATCGATACTGCACGTACTTGTATACCTTTGCAATTGTACAAATACATGTACCATGATATGCCTACATTCACACGTTTCACCCTGCAAAACTCCACGAAACAAGCAAGTTGGATCTGGGCTAGGCCACCTGGATTGGCGGAAGCGTCAAAATGCCGTCCCAGGCGCAAGCTGCCTGCAACTCAACTGGATACATGCCCTGTTGGCTAGGTGTGTGAAAACTGTCTACTGCCTTTTCTGTTGCAGCAGCTATGCATGGTTTCATGATTTATGATCAGGGACTAAGCTAGCAAAACCTGGCTCCGACCTGCTGCCAGCAAAGCTGCCGCAACGCTGCCAAACAGCAGCCTGCTGTCAAAAAGTTGTCTCAGCCCAAAGCCAGGCGCCCAAACTGGAATATGAAGAGGCTCGAAAGCTTCTTGTTGCTAGTAGTAAGGCCAGGAGCCCCTAGTAGCGTCCTTGCTCCTAGTAGCGATGCCCTTTGCTACTAGTAATAGCTTCTTGTTACTAGTAGTAAGGAATGATCAGCTAGTCACTTTGTTCGTTTGCGGTACTAATATCGAACTACAAGACCTCTCCCGTTCACAGCCTGGGAGAAACCAAAAAGGGTTTAAAGGGGTGTAAAGTGCAGGACGAAGTTGAGTCAACATGCAAACCAAATGCTGCATCTCAGTGTCACTGATCATTCTATAATGTTATGAAGTCTTGCTTCTCACACCATGTACCCATCAACAGAAACAAGTTCAACTCAACTTTGATGAGATACTTCACGCTGGGTGTTCAGTTTGCCTGCGAAGCACTGAAGATCGCCTTGAAATGCTGGCTGTCCCCTGCATGGTCAAAGGGCACGAAAGTGACATGGCAGAGAAGCAGGTGATCATCTATCACTGTCACGTTTCCCAAAAAACTAGGTTGGAGCCCATCGCTATTAGGTTGGAGGCCATCGCTCTTAGGAGGGGAACAAACAAGAATAGTGCAAAGGCTTTTCTGGATCGATCAGTAGCTACCCCTTACTACTAGCTGCTTGAAGTACTTTTCAGTTCACCGGCCTAACCACCGCCACAAAACAAGGAAAAGCATTGGATTCATTCATTCAATGCACGAAAGCCATGCTGTCATGCATGTTGAGTGTCCAAAAGTCAAAGCTCTGCATGTTACTGCACCTTTGAACTCCTCAGGTGCAAATTCGGCGTGGCCATGGCCTTCAAAAGGTCAAGACAAGGCTGGAGAGTGTGAAAAAGAAACTGATTGCAACACAAAAGCTCAACAGGAAATTCATTGACATCCCAAAACCTCTTGGACCTATCAAGATCTTGGTTGCCGGCTTGCCTGGCTCTCGCCGCACCCTGATCTCAGGCAGGCCGCTCTACAGCTCGCTATGGCTGCGCACACAGTTCTTTGAAAAGCATTGCGAAAAGAAAGCTTAAAAAGAAAGGAAAATAAATAGTTGTCTAAAATGTCTACAGTTTAAAGAAACTCAAAGAACGAAGGAAAAGGAATAACTAAAAAAAATGTGGTCTGAACGTCAGAGGGATTGTAAAAACAAAAACAACAATTTAATATAACAATATATGCACATATTATAGTGTATTACTGTGTATATTATTGATGCGTTTCTTTCATCTGGATGATTCTAGGCAGTTAGTGATGTCCATCAATGTGGCATGCACTCGACACGAATCGGTTTTTGATTATTAAAAAATATGCAAGGAAGGTGTGTTCACGGACCACCCACCATTTGCGAAACATCTTTACTTTTGATCCTTTTTGAGTCTCACGGTCGTTGATTGAAAAACATCTGTCAGATGCTTGCATTGGCAACTTCACGACTTCTTCCGGAAGCTAGCAAAGCTTCAAATGATGTATCATTTCAGGAATGTAAGCACTGAGCACAAGATCTAAAACATGCAACAGCTGGAAGAACGTTGTCGTATCACGAGCACTTTACTTTCTCTTTGGAAAGCCAGCACTACTAGTGACTTCACAGCGCTTGAGGCTGTTTGTTCTTACGCATTGATGCCAAACTGACCACACAGGCGAGATGGCTCAAAGGTGAAACATGAATGAGTGTGTTGCCAGCATCTCGCTCCTTGGATCACATCCGTTTGCAGGTGTGCATGAGCTAAATTGATAAAATATTCTGATCTGATCTGCAAAATGTTGATTTTGAAATTGGTTCCCTCTGCAAGATGTACAGTACATGCGATACTTTTTGATTCGTGTCGTTGGACTGCTTTAGCAAAAAAATGTTCCTTCAAGGAGTGTTTTACATATAGTAATTATCATGTGCGAGGTTGTGGGAAGCCGGCTTCAAACACATAAAGGGTGGCTGTGAGATCCTGATGCTTTTGCTGTGCAGATGCAAATTTGCTGTCGAGCATCAGGAGTGCGCAGAATTGATCCTGCGAGATATCCAGATTGAGTGACCTGGCGTGTCCGAAGAATTTCAAGGCCTCACGGCCTCACAAATCCCTGCTCCCTGTCTTGCATCTTAGCTTGGGCCAGCACCCATCACCCTGGTCTGCATAGTGGCGGAATTGGCGTATGAGCTCTTCCTTGACAAGCTGGACCAGTTCCAATTGCATGTCTTTGTAGAGGGCATGGCATACCCTTAAGGCCCTTGAGAGTCTCATCTCCCTCCCATTCTCTCCCTCTCACCTTGCTGGGCAGGTCTTGCCCCAAATCACCATAGACCCTGGCATACTTCAAAGTGCAAAACCAGCCAAAACCTATATGGTATTCCGATATTCCGTTGGATAACAGGTGTAGAGATTGGTACTGTACATGTGCCATGTGTCACATGTTTTACAGAAGTCAACGGATGCATGACATAACATGGACAACCAAACAGAGCCGTTAGTCGGCACAACGGGCTCGGACGAAGACGGGCCAGCAACTCCGCGCTGCAAGCTTTCCTTGCCATATGTCCAAACTCAACCTGAGTTTCTCACAGAAACTCACAAACAAACGTTGTGGAGTCCAAGGAGTATTGTATGTTTCAAAAAACAACTCAAGAAACAACAATGAATAGCAAGCAAGGACTCGATATGATTTAATCAGAGAGAGAGGGCTGCGATACAGTCATTATATACATATATGAAGTTCTAAGTGCTCTAACATGATATGAGCCAAGTCGATATGAGAATATGAGACACCTGTCTCCGGGAATCCAAGGCTGCAGCGGGCCACCAGGCTTCCCAGCTGCTGCCAAGTACCGCATTGCCTGAATCAAGGGGCAGTAGAGGCAAGGTCCGTAACTTTTTGAGATGGTGTCTCTGTTTTGTTATGTTCTGTGCCTTCTCTAAAAGACCACACAACACTGTCTGCAACCTGCCCCAATTCCACTGACACGGCACGGCTTGCAAAAGTTGGATTCTTTGAATAGTGAATGGATAAAAAAGAGTACGTAAAGGCCTCGCCTTCAAGCTATTATTGAATCCCAGCCAAATGGACATCCAAACTTTAGGACCATTCAGAGCCTTGTAGGAAATCCAACTTGGCTCTTGTAGCAGCTGCCTCGCATCGGTGTGTTCCAACTCGTCTTTGTGCTGTACAAAGGGATAGACATAATGACATAATATTATATATACAGAGAGAGAGAGAGAAAAAATAAAATAAAGATTGAGGGCAACCATTGTGCATAACTCAAGCCGTCCTGCACAGTTCGACTAGACACGTTGTATTCTCTCTCTACCAATCCAAGCGTAGTCAATGCGGCCTCGCTGTAGGTGCTGCAATGGATCCCAAAGAGTAGTAGCCTGCATTGTCGCTGTACTGCTGTGTGTTCCTATCCTGGATGAGGCTCAATCACACCCGCAACACAGTGCGGATGCGAGCAGCGAGCTGAAGGGATGAAGAATTGCATGTACTGTGACGCTCGCGTCTCAAGTGATTCAGACTTGCTTCGTGTCTTGCTTTGTCCAATCTGATTGACTCCACAAAGTCACAAAGAGGCCTCTGAAGAGACCCTTTCGGTCACAGGCGCTGCACAAATAGAAGCCGCACACCGCGCACTGCACAAGACTCGGGAATGTTTCTTTGCAACACCACTTTCAACTGTGATTAAGCGCCTCTGAGAATGAAAGTGTGTGTATGACATGTGACGAATGGGAATCATTTCTACAAAGTGAAGTTAATCAAGGTGAACTCAATCATCCCTGCTGATTGCCTGCAGTTTTCGGTCCATGGCAATTTCTTTGGAGCAAATGCCTGAACAGAGCCATAGACTTAGACGTTGCGCGGCCCAGAATGACTCCACAGTGCGTTGTTTGAACACTTACCTATTCTGTGCAACACTACACAACTAGTTAAACTAGTTCAGATCCACTTCTTTCTGTGATTGCACAGTAACAAAGGTTGATGTGAACTCAAGACTCAGCAGGATACTGCAAGATGTGGAAAGCTTTGCACGCAGCAAAGATACCTGAGAAGGAGGCAAGACCAAATCATTGAAACTTGATACAAGGTCAGGCAAAACACTTATGCACTTCAAGGATTCTGGGGCAACCTTGGAGATTTGAATGCATCTTCCCACCAACCAGCACCAGAAGCAAATTGCAGCGTCTCTAGTAGCATAATGCAGCCGTGGCACCAACGACCACCGGCCGTCGGATTGCTGCATGATGTGGCCCTGTGCACAATGCGCATAGACCACCGCCTTTCGTTTCAGAATGGTCTGAATGCCAGGGTCTATTCTCCTGAACAGCATCATGACAGCATCAAAGAAAAAAAGGAAACAAATCAAAGCCAAGCCAACTGCCAAAGCAGCCTACAAGTTGACCCTTTCGCACAAGACCCCCAATGGAGAGGAGAGGAGTAAAACCTGCTGTCAATTTTGACTGGCACTTTTCTAGATGTCCAAAAATATCTAGGAACAAAGGAAGCTACTAGGAACAAAGGGCGTCGCTACTAGGAGCAAGGACGCTACTAGTAGCTCCTGGCCTTGCTACTAGGAACAAGGACAACCAAATCATTCAGGCTCAGACTTCTTCTGCATCCAAGCGCCTAGTTTACTTAGTAGCTACTACCTGCTCTTAGCCCTATCCCCGAGGCTAAAAAGAACACAAAATGCATAGCACTTCGATGGCGGACATGGACAGTTCAAGTCACAATCTTGTCCTGACTCCTGGACGCAGTAGGGCACCTCGTCCTGAATGATTTGGTTCCGTTCGTAGCGTCCGATCGCTCCTAGTAGCGTCCTTGTTACTACTAGTAAGGCACTTGTTACTAGAAGCGATGCACTTGTTACTAGTAGCGTCCTTGCTCCTAGTAGTAAGGCCAGGAGCCCCTAGTAGCGGCCTTGCTCCTAGTAGCGATTCCAGGAGCCCCTAGTAGCTTCAGTATATACTCGTCGTATGATTGTCAAAAGTTATTGAATTTCATGCTATGTATAGCTGCCATAGCTAAAAACTACAGTAAGTGTTCCTTGCCATTGTCTCTCTACAACTTTGTTCCCCAATTCTCCAAGGTTCCAAACAACACGGTGGTGGCTACCCAAATGACGCATTACAATAAGGTGAAATGTCTAGAATGTCTAGAGTCTAGAATGTTCATTTCACAGCTGCAAATGCACGCTAGAAAAAAAAAAAGATGGAAAACTATCGGCAAATCCCATTGCTCACAAATACTCTTCTGGGGAGGCAGCCACTGACAACGCCTTGGCAAAGCAAAGCAGGCAAATGGGATTTGTCAGGCCAGTGGCCCCGCGGTCTCAAATTGGTCTTAGGTGCTTCAAATCATCACAAACCGTTTGCTATGTCTGTAGATGTGCTTTCAGCTCTACAATCTTATTGTATATAACCTGGCACTGATTTATGGGGCGTGTGAATACGAGCAGTTTCCATAAATAGTAATTCCCACATCAGTTAATCCACAGTTGGCAGAGTACTGCCACACGTTCGAAGGCGCGTACTGGCAGTAGTCCTTGCACTCTACCTTGGAGTTTTGTGTCAAGCACACCTGCGTGCATCCTTGGCAATCTGGGTCATATTGCCAGACCGCAGTTCCCACATACGAGTACCGGCAGTAGCTCATGCAAACAGGAACATTGGCACTGGTCATGTTGGCAATTTTGGCCTCCGTGCAACCACCACAGTTGGGATCATACTGCCAGTTAAGTTGAAACAACAAGAGTGTCGCCAAAAAATAGTATGTTATGTCTTAAGTTGATCCAATAATATCAGAGTTTGCCCTTTAATAAATTAAAAAAGAAAAAACATAGACTATATAAGCATAAGTATTAGAATATACACCCAAAACGATCTAAAAAATGAGTCGGAATAATGGAGACGTGGCTGTTCTTAGGCCGATGAACGTTGTTTCTGTCAAGTTCCTTTCAAGGTTCCACTTTCTTGAAGACCTAAGATGGGTTCATGGGCAACAGGCAATCACATGTCGAAACATGCGTGGCAATTCGGAAACATAGTTAGTAGCTTCAAGAGTTCTAGAGCACCAGGGGCCCCACCATTTCTGAAAATTACAAAAGTGTATAGTGGTTGACCTGGAAGCAGCAGCAGCAGCAGCAGCAGCACGAGCAGCCATTGTGATCCACTTTCTGCATATTGGTTGGGCTGCCAGGCAGGAGCATGGGCTGAACGGCGCTCTTGAATTGAACGAAACGGTGCTTCACCCAGGATCGCCAGGCAAAACTGCCGGACATCCCCATTTCTGCACAATACGAACTGGAAGAAACAAACCCACACAAATGCAAAATAAGCGGCCAGAAACCATGATAATGATATATACCAAACCAAAAACTGTGAAACTAACTAGCCGAGCCAAAGCAAAGCTTTGGTTTACTATCTGTGACCAAACGATATGATATCTAACTAGAAGCTGTTGATCAGGGATTCAACCACAAGGCCTGGAGGTTTTGCCATGTTTTGCCTAGTTTCTCAATTCAATTCAGCTGACATCTCGATTCTCTCGGCCAACTGACAGCTTTGACGTGAGATTGGCCCTTTCTGGGCATCCCAACCAGTCTCGTGAGGGCGCAAAGAGGAGAGAGGAACCTGGCATCTCCATCACATGTGTCACTCCTTCAACAAAGTCACCACGGGAATATCAATGAAGTCTCCCAAGTCCAAGAAAGAGTCACCTTGTCGAAGTTGGTTCGACTTCGTCATACTTCGTCCCTCAGACGCCGGCAGATTTCCTCACCAGGTGCCAGTCCCAAGAAGAGCTCAGGTGAGGGAAGCGTCGCAAACCTTGCCAACGTGAACAACAAGGATCAAGGATTCCCACAAATCCAGACCCAAGCGCACCGTTCTCGCTTGTTTATCATTGTGAAGCTTGTTCCAATTTCCTTCCCCATGCTTCTCCATCTCAAGTTCATAAGCTATAGCCCATATCAGTTTGTGCCGGGATACTGGATCCAACGAAGGCAAAAGGTCCGAGACCTCGCTGTGCACCTTGCGTTCACCAAGACAGCCCCGCCACATCTGCCAAGTTTCTCTTGGTATCTTTGAATGTTGAACGATGTTGAACTTAAATGTTACATAATATTACAGCAAAACCATTTGTCCATTTGTATGCCTGATGTGTTGGTTGAACCGCTTCTAGCAAACGTCTACCTGTCTGAAAATGTGACTTTGCTCTGTAGCGCGCTTCATCATTGAGCAACTCAGCCTGGTACCATCAGAATCAAAAAAACTGATATCACAAGTGCAGTTGAAGATATCCACGTTGGAGACCTGAACAGGAAGCCCCACAATCCAGTCAAGTTTGCCTTGGTCTGTGTATACGCGTGCGGCAGACCTTCCATGCGGATCTCTGTTAGGTCAGCGGACATTGTTTGTGGAATCACCTGAACACCTTCAGACAACGTGGGTACCTGCTGGCCTCACTGCTCACACTGCTCAAGAGCAAACCCGGCCTGTGCCAATTTAAGCTTCTGATTCCCAGAGTGATCGTAGAGGCACAGGTCACCTACCAAAATGGGACTGAACCCTTTCTTTTTGGATGTGTGTTTTTGCCCGCGGGCGGGACGTAGGCCGAGAAAAGGTAGCTAGTAGCTATTTAAGCTACTAGCATGGACGCAGGATAGCTCACGCTTGCACTAATAATTGGGTTCCTAGATGTTAGGAAAACTTGCACTGAACAGTTTTTGTATTGATGCCTTGCTAGGCGCTTCGACAAACGGCCTGGCCAAAGTCGTGCGCGCCACTCTTCCGTCAAATCATCAATCTCGGAGCTATCGCCCCCCTCACAGAATACGTTTTCTGCACAAACTCTCACTTGAGGTTGTCCAAAAAGGCCAACACATGACATCAACAAAAAGGGTCAGGACCACCAAACAGACTGTGTAGAAACTACTTGACACTTTTCTCGTTATCCATGAACCAATGTGCTCAGTAGGGTATATAATCCCAGTGGTTGCTCAGTGCCTGCCTCAAAGCCACCGAGCCAGCCATTCAAGATCCTGTCTGCTGTCGAATATTGTGGGGGACTCTATGGCAACTTCGGGGCATTCTGCAGAATCAACGGATGCAAAAAACAGACTATACCAGAAACAAATTCAAATCGCATGTTTCCAGGAGTGTAAAGCTCGAATGGGGGCGAGGTTCGTGTCAGAATTTGACAATGAAGCTGGCTGAAACTTGTGTATTTAGCAGACACCAAAGTAGTGGCAAGTTGCGCTCACCTCCCTTACTTCTCTTCCAGAAGTACAACCCAGGAGTGAATTGGATTTTGGGGTTGCTTTTCTGTTACAGTAGTTATAGTTTCATTTTTCTCTGGTATGCTGCATATGCTGTTGATTCTTTTCGATCACCTCTTCATGCACTTTTGTTCCTTTGTTCCTTACAAATCGGCTGTCTGATTCACTGATTCCAACTCATTGTCATTCTTGTTGCTGTTTTCGTTTACTTCCAAACTACAGTAAGTCGATTGCCCTGAGATTTCTCTTGGATCATCCTCTTTCTTGACGTTTGTTCTCTTTTCGCCTCAAAAAGAAAAGGGTGTCAAAAATCAGTGCGTTCTTGGGGGTGTAAATCACTTGTCACTGCCTTGACTTTCTGTCAAACGTGCAGAATGCCAAAAGAGCAAAGTTACGCTGGTGGTGATAGGCTGCCCGCATGCAATTGCTGGAGCCCAAAACGTGTGTCGTTCGCGGGAGTCGTGATGGCACCCGGCTGACAGGTAAAAACACGGACAAAGGAGGATTTCTAGTTGCCTATGACGACATTTCACCTTAGCGGGAGTTTGCATTTGAGAAAGGTTAAGGTGTTACAGTAAAGAATATGTTGAAGTTCTGCAAACTCTGTTAACAACAGGAATTGCTTTTCGAGCTCTTCACAGTCATCTCTTTTGAGAGTTTTGACTTCTGGCATTGGTTGGTCATCTGAGTTCACAGGTGTTCCAACATGATGCTTCATTTTCTTGAAAATCTAGGAACCATTCTTCTGCGTTCTTCTGCGTCCTGCTGCTATCAGTGGAACATTCTTGCTTCTAGCTACCTTACCAGACCATACCACACCTTACCCTCCCGTACCACAGCTGACCTCCACCCAAACAAGGCTAAGGACTAAAGAAGCCTAAAGCAAGTTCACCAGCACACCTTGACTCTTTTGACGGTAAAGCATCAAGTGCAGCGTTGGCCAATTGGCTTCTGGGTCCCTCACGGGCGCACCACGTTGATGGTCGAAGTCCCCATCAATGCCTTACAAAGAGACAACACAATAACACAAGGTCGATCTGCCAAGATCCGTATTGATTTGAAGCGCTTTTTATGCCAACCTGCAGAGAAGTGCAACGTCTCTTTGGTTTTCTTCTTTTTCTGTACTTGAAAGTGCCATTGTTGCAAGAATCAATGAATCAACAATACGTCAGCAATCGCAATCACGTCCGTCAATGAATCTTCTAAACGAAAGAAGCAAACCCTCTTGATGGCATCGCCTCTGGCTGCCGGCGGGCTTCATCTGGGATGTGGCAGCCCTGCGTGGCACGTTTTGCATGCAACAAACAGTCTCTTTGCAGCAATGCTACGCTGTGAACCGATCAGAAGCTCCCGAACCTCAATCAGAAATCCTGCAACCTCATCAGAAAAGTGATTGCCTCAGCTGTCTACGGTAGCAGGTTCGACCAATCTCAGCCACAAGGTGCCAAACAGTTGTGTGAGAGGACATCATAGCTCTCCCGAGTGTACCTACACAAGCGCAGGTGGTATACCCGGTAAAACTAGGAGTTGCCAAATGTCACTGTTCTGCCTCGAAACCACATCAAAGCGCAGCCAGTCTTCCAGTTCCTCTTTGGTGTTCAAGGTGGTGCCAAGCTCTGTGCAGCCTTGGAAAAAGAAACTCTAACACACTCCGCTCCATTAATTTACAGCAAACACGCTCTGAACTTCTATGCACTTCAGACTTCCATCAAAGTAGTGTGTGAAGAGGGTAATTTCAAGATCCTGTGCCGGTGTGACGCTGGTGTGGGCACATCCAAGCTGGCGACGAATAGGTCCTGCAAACGGCGCCTTGCCAGGCTCAGATGCCAAGACCTGCAGGTCTGAGTCTTTGCTCAGGAAAATATTGTGTTTCTCTATTTTCAGTATGTCATGTCTCTGTGTTTCTTGCATTATATATATACACAGTAACTGTTGTTCCCTTTTCATTTCACCAATCTTTAGACCTTTGCTTACTCTTTTTCTGCAAACATCAGAACTCAGAACCGATGGCATACCATGCCCACCCAGAACCTCCAGCAAGTGTCAAACCGCAAATTCCTCGGCCTTCCCACCAAACCAGTACTCACGGCCAAAAGCTACAATGCCAGTATGCCATATGCCTCAACGATAACCAAGGAGGCATATAGGGCTAAGCAGAAATGGATGCTAGCTGCTGCAGAAAAATATCAAATATATATATATATATGGGCTCGTGAACTTTTCGGGGCCCCCCTGGGAAGCAATTCATGTTCAATCATCTGATCCA